AACTTGAATTTCAAATATCCTAATAATCCTCTTTGTTTAGATTTAAAAACTTTTTTTTCTTTTCTTTTTGTTTTTGAAGCATATTTTTCATTTGTTAATATGTGATACAGAATTATGCAAATAAAAACAAAATCAAGGTTTAATATTTTGTTCCTTAATTTCTAGAGCTTTAGTTGGTTCTTCTCTTTTCAAACTTTCTAAAGAAATTTCTGTTAAAGTTTTTACTCAATCTAAAAAGGATAACTTTTAAAAAAAATTAATTATCTTCCTAGCTGACATTAAGAAAAAAAAAATAATAAAAAAACTAAATAAATTTTTTGGAAGAAAATAATCATATATAAAATAAGAAAAAAAAAAGTTGTTCATAAGTTTAGCACGCTTAGCTTTTAAGTTGATTTTAGGCAAAACTTTATTAAGGAATGCGACCTTTATTTATTATGCATAATGAACATCTTATAGAATAGAAAAAAAATGACAATAATATTCACCTGTCAAACCATTGAACCTTTCTAATAAGATGTGTTCTATTACTGTTCTAATAAGATGCAGTCTATTAGCATTCTAATAAGATGCTGACTATTAGTATTCTTATAAGATGTGTTTAAGATTGAGTTTGGTTCTGAGAACTGTTTAAGATTGAAGTTGATTCTAGTAACTGTTTAAAAATGATGATTTAATATAAATTAAACTTTTAAAATACTACATTTTACTTTAAATATATTTTTTAATATTTTATTAAAAAGGAGAATTTAATTTACTATGTAACTTTTTCCGCAATAAGCTTATAAAAGCTCTCCTTAAAAGGAGAGCTAGCGTGCTAAACTTATAAGCACCTTTATTTAAAACTTAAAATACCGGTTAATGTATGCACCTAAAACAAAGGAATATGCCTGAGCAAACTTTTTTTAATTTTTAGTCTTATTTTATCAGGCTAATTAATTGTGATAATTAATTAATGATAATTAAAAGAAAAGTTTTTTTTAAAGTTTTGAAACTGAAAAAATAATATGTATGAAGCAAAAGCAAATTTAATTCTGCTGCATGCTAAACGTTTGATCACTCTTGTGTGTAGTTAAATACCAATTAAATACTTTCTTAATCATTATTTTAAACAATATTTGTTTTATTTGAAATAATAGCATAGCTAGTAAATAGCTACAACAAAAAATTTGGTTTAAAAAGCTTATACTTTTAAAATTAACTTTTAATATTTAAATTCAGTTAGTTTAAATATTTAAATCAATCACTTTAACTACAAATCAGTCATAAATTTGTAAATTTAAATTAATAATCTCATAGATGAAGAAGAGCAAAGTGTAAGAAGTGCACAAAAATTATAAAAACAGCATGTGGCTTCACAACAGCAGGTGGTTGGACAAGCTTTCTTCATACATATTTAAAAACCAAACATGATGTATTATTACAAAAATAAGATGTTATTAAATTTCTAGGTGAAATCAAAATCTGATACGCCTGAAAATGGACTGCATTTTGTGTGAATTCAATTTTCATTCACAATGCATTAAATCTGATTTTATTTACAACTGTCTCTCAACACTAAACTCTGAAACACAAATCCAGTTAAATAAGGCTGCTGGGCTGAAAAGTAGAGTACAGTAGAGTACAGGTAGAGTACAGTAGAGTAGAGTACAGGTAGAGTAGAGTACAGTAGAGTAGAGTAGAGTACAGTAGAGTACAGTAAAGTAGAGTACAGTAGAGTACAGTAGAGTAGAGTAGAGAGGTAGAGTAGAGTACAGGTAGGTACAGTAGAGTACAGGTAGAGTAGAGTACAGTAGAGTACAGGTGGATTTGAACCCAGAATCTTGGCACAAAATAAACATAAGCAATAATAGTACAACAAAAAGTTTAATGAACAAAAAAATAGTTCAAAATATTAAGCAATATATTAGTTTTTTCCTTTGGGACTGAAATAATGCTTTCTCACCATTACAACCTACTGCGTCAACTTTTTTGTATACATGTTCGCACATGCCTTGTACATAATTTTTATCAATTTTTTAACTTAAACAAGTTCAACTTGAACAATTTTTATCAACATATCAACTTAAACAAGAATGAATTCTTTTTCGCAGCTGATCTTCATTTTAAGCTTCCCAATTGTTTTCATACACATACCATTTAGAGATTGACCAGAAATCTTCTATTGGTCATAATTCTGGGACACGTGTCAGATTATCAACCTTTATTACATAACAGATATTTTTCTCATTGAGGTAATTGGTCACTTCTAGCATAATGTGAAGAGGCCAAGTCAGGCCAGAATACATAATTACCATCACTGTGATGTTTGTTGATAAAAGAAATCAATCGTTTGATGATGCAATCATTTTTGTACACTGTTTAGTTAATTGGTAATCTCACAGAAACAATAAATGTTTTTGAGATTGATGAGGGTAATCCCCACAAGAATTTTTTTTTCAAATTTGCTTTTGCACTTATATTTTACATTTTTTGATTCACCTGAGTAAATTCTAACATTAAAATTTTTATTTGTATGTTTAAATGGAAAATAAGACTTAAAAAATAGTTCAAAATATTCAACTCGTTTCTCCGCGCAGCGGCCTTGCTCGTCAAGGTTCGTGTTTCGGAGTTATAGAGTTGAGAGAGGGTTATAACCACAAATAAGTAGCCTCCTCGTCTGTAGTGGCCTTCTCGGCCTTGAGGAGGTGAATTAAAATAAAAAAAAAAAAAAAAAAAAAAGACTTATTGTCAATGACAAAGTCACGGTTTTTGAATTTGTGTCAAATTCTTCCACACTTCAGTTGCAACTGCTTTAACTATTTATCAGTGCAATCAGGGATTTTTTTTTTTTTTTAAATAACAAATGTTTGTTTTGTTTTTTAATGTTTTTACAATTACAATAGTTGTACAATTAATATTCAATTAATGTAATTGGCATTTTCAGATAACTTTTTTATTAATTAATCTAAGTAATCAAAATTTTTAGTAAAAAATAACTAACACTTTATAAACAAAATAACTAAAAATTCAATAAGTTTTAGCTTCTTAAAGATTGTCAAATTTTTGTCACCAAGGGTTATATTTACAAATTATGTCACAATTAAATTTCCATTAATGCTAAACCAATGAGACAATGAAAGATATTTCCTCATTATCTCATACTATCATTAATAACGCAAGTCCATAATCCAATCAAAAAAACTCATCAAGAAAATATGATTTATGTAGTCTCAACATTAATTAATTCAAACTGACACTAGATTTATGTGTATTGATTGTGACATCACAATGATCTGTGTGTATATTTATATCTATTATTGAAATATTGTAAAAAATAAATGTTTTGTTAATTTTTTCTGTGACTTATAATTAGGATTCCTTCTTTTTGACAATATATATATATATATATATATATATATATATATACATATATATATATATATATATATATATATATATATATATATATATATATATATATATATATATATATATATATATATATATATATATATATATATAGACGCTCTTGATAATATTTATTTTTGCTGAACTCATAAATCACCCAGATCATATTTTTAAAATCCAGAAAAATGTTAGGGTAAAATATCCGCAAAAAATCCTGAATATTATATTCCCTTACTTTCTTCTTAGTTTAGCTTTTATCTGAGTTTTTTCAATTTTTTTTCCTAATTTTTGTATGATTGATGAGTTATAAAGCTTAAAAAACAAATATATTACAAAAATACCTAAACTTATATGTATGGAAAATGCTTTGGATACTAAAAGTTGAGAAAAATATTCGGAATTCCAGAAATATCAGGAAAAAGATAATCCCTGTGAGCATACTAGCAGAGTATGTAAAAAGTTGCATTGAGAAGATATCACACTTTTGTTAGTTTACTATGTTATTTTATGTGAAAATGTGTACAAACGCAGTTAATGTTTACACAGATGATATTTAATAAATTCTAAAATAAACTTTTGAAAAATTTTTCTTAAATTAATAGATTGCCCAGACCAAAACTCTCAGTTGTTGTATGTATACTACAGTACAGTAAAACATTAGGGTCCCCTTTTAAAAAACCAAAAAAATATGTATATATAAAAACAGTATGTAATGATAAAAAATGAAAAACAACTAAAAAAACTATCAGGTCATAATTTTTTACATTTTTAAAATCTTTTCTTATATTATTATTCTTTTTATTTTTCCTCTTATTGAAAATGCCTTATGCTATAAAGGTAGGTAGCTATAAAGGTAGGTAGCTATAAAGGTAACAATTTGTTATCTATATACAATAAAGTAAATACAGTAGAAAAATTCCTAGAAAGTTCTGAAAGCTTGTAGAAGTTTTCATGATTTGTGTATATATAGGTCATAAAACAGCCTACCAGACCATTTTAAATTCCTGCATTATAACTTCCGTATAACTCAACTGCACAAAACATTTTTTGGACCAGTTATGACTATGTCATAACCCTCCGGTTATGACATAGTCATAACTTATCTCCATTGTGTACTGCTTTCAGTGAACACAACAATAACAGAAACCTTCTGTGCTCAGTTCAACAATTTTTAAAAAGAACTCTGGATGCCTAGAGCTTGATGAAGTATACTTCCTATATGACAATGCCTGCAATCAAAATTATTGGAGTTTGGCTGGGAAGTGTTGTCTCGTTTACCTAACTTATTGCTAACAAATTATTAATTGCTTCACTCGCTAAACAATAGCTTAATAACCACTTCAATTCAAAACCTTAAGAGTTCTATGCAGCAAAATACTTTTTAGTAAAATATTTGTGTTATAATATTTGTATATGTATATATTGTTGTAATAAATATTTTTGTTTCTCCTGATTTTATAAAGAATATATAATAAAATAATGTTATTTATTGAAAAAAAAATTATTATTATTATAAAATAATTTTATAATACTGTTAAATTTAATATACTATGCATATACATTGTTAAACTGTATTACAAAGAACTGTTTAAAAAGACATAATTTAAAACCTGGACTCCACCATGAGGTTGGTGTAACATTATTCTTGAATGTGGTAGAGCATGACGCAATCCTTTTGATCCACTAGCAAGTAAAAGTGAGCCCATACTACATGCTTGTCCTACACACCAAGTTGCAATAGGTGGTTCAATAAACTAAAATGAAGTTGCAATAGGTGTTCAATAAACTAAAAATGTGGATATTTTAATTAAATATTCAAACTAATCATTAAAAATAAACTTTTATTACATCATTAATAATGTTGTTTTTTCATTTTATTACATCATTAATAATGTTGTTTTTTATTTTATTACATTATTAATAATGTTGTTTTTCATTTTATTATATCATCAATAATGTTGTTTTTTCATTTTATTATATCATTAATAATGTTGTTTTTTATTTTATTACATCATTAATAATGTTGTTTTTCATTTTATTACATTATTAATAATGTTGTTTTTTATTTTATTACATTATTAATAAGATTGTTTTTCATTTTATTACATTATTAATAATGTTGTTTTTTCATTTTATTACATTATTAATAATGTTGTTTTTTATTTTATTACATTATTAATAAGATTGTTTTTCATTTTATTACATTATTAATAATGTTGTTTTTTCATTTTATTACATTATTAATAATGTTGTTTTTCATTTTATTATATCATCAATAATGTTGTTTTTTATTTTATTACATTATTAATAATGTTGTTTTTCATTTTATTATATCATCAATAATGTTGTTTTTTTATTTTATTACATCATTAATAAGATTGTTTTTCATTTTATTACATTATTAATAATGTTGTTTTTTATTTTATTACATCATTAATAATGTTGTTTTTCATTTTATTACATTATTAATAATGTTGTTTTTTATTTTATTACATTATTAATAAGATTGTTTTTCATTTTATTACATTATTAATAATGTTGTTTTTTCATTTTATTACATTATTAATAATGTTGTTTTTTATTTTATTACATTATTAATAAGATTGTTTTTCATTTTATTACATTATTAATAATGTTGTTTTTTATTTTATTACATCATTAATAATGTTGTTTTTTCATTTTATTATATCATTAATAATGTTGTTTTTTATTTTATTACATCATTAATAATGTTGTTTTTCATTTTATTACATTATTAATAATGTTGTTTTTTATTTTATTACATTATTAATAAGATTGTTTTTCATTTTATTACATTATTAATAATGTTGTTTTTTCATTTTATTACATTATTAATAATGTTGTTTTTTATTTTATTACATTATTAATAAGATTGTTTTTCATTTTATTACATTATTAATAATGTTGTTTTTTCATTTTATTACATTATTAATAATGTTGTTTTTCATTTTATTATATCATCAATAATGTTGTTTTTTCATTTTATTATATCATTAATAATGTTGTTTTTTCATTTTATTATATCATTAATAATGTTGTTTTTTCATTTTATTACATCATTAATAATGTTGCTTTTTATTTTATTACATTATTAATAATGTTGTTTTTCATTTTATTATATCATCAATAATGTTGTTTTTTCATTTTATTATATCATTAATAATGTTGTTTTTTCATTTTATTATATCATTAATAATGTTGTTTTTTCATTTTATTACATCATTAATAATGTTGTTTTTTATTTTATTACATTATTAATAATGTTGTTTTTCATTTTATTATATCATCAATAATGTTGTTTTTTCATTTTATTATATCATTAATAATGTTGTTTTTTATTTTATTACATCATTAATAATGTTGTTTTTCATTTTATTACATTATTAATAATGTTGTTTTTTATTTTATTACATTATTAATAAGATTGTTTTTCATTTTATTACATTATTAATAATGTTGTTTTTATTTTATTACATTATTAATAATGTTGTTTTTTATTTTATTACATTATTAATAAGATTGTTTTTCATTTTATTACATTATTAATAATGTTGTTTTTTCATTTTATTACATTATTAATAATGTTGTTTTTCATTTTATTATATCATTAATAATGTTGTTTTTTATTTTATTACATTATTAATAATGTTGTTTTTCATTTTATTATATCATCAATAATGTTGTTTTTTCATTTTATTACATCATTAATAAGATTGTTTTTCATTTTATTACATTATTAATAAAGTTGTTTTTTATTTTATTACATCATTAATAATGTTGTTTTTCATTTTATTACATTATTAATAATGTTGTTTTTTATTTTATTACATTATTAATAAGATTGTTTTTCATTTTATTACATTATTAATAATGTTGTTTTTTCATTTTATTACATTATTAATAATGTTGTTTTTTATTTTATTACATTATTAATAAGATTGTTTTTCATTTTATTACATTATTAATAATGTTGTTTTTTATTTTATTACATCATTAATAATGTTGTTTTTTCATTTTATTATATCATTAATAATGTTGTTTTTTATTTTATTACATCATTAATAATGTTGTTTTTCATTTTATTACATTATTAATAATGTTGTTTTTTATTTTATTACATTATTAATAAGATTGTTTTTCATTTTATTACATTATTAATAATGTTGTTTTTTCATTTTATTACATTATTAATAATGTTGTTTTTTATTTTATTACATTATTAATAAGATTGTTTTTCATTTTATTACATTATTAATAATGTTGTTTTTTCATTTTATTACATTATTAATAATGTTGTTTTTCATTTTATTATATCATCAATAATGTTGTTTTTTCATTTTATTATATCATTAATAATGTTGTTTTTTCATTTTATTATATCATTAATAATGTTGTTTTTTCATTTTATTACATCATTAATAATGTTGTTTTTTATTTTATTACATTATTAATAATGTTGTTTTTCATTTTATTATATCATCAATAATGTTGTTTTTTCATTTTATTACATCATTAATAAGATTGTTTTTCATTTTATTACATTATTAATAATGTTGTTTTTTATTTTATTACATCATTAATAATGTTGTTTTTCATTTTATTACATTATTAATAATGTTGTTTTTTATTTTATTACATTATTAATAAGATTGTTTTTCATTTTATTACATTATTAATAATGTTGTTTTTTCATTTTATTACATTATTAATAATGTTGTTTTTTATTTTATTACATTATTAATAAGATTGTTTTTCATTTTATTACATTATTAATAATGTTGTTTTTTCATTTTATTACATTATTAATAATGTTGTTTTTCATTTTATTATATCATCAATAATGTTGTTTTTTCATTTTATTATATCATTAATAATGTTGTTTTTTCATTTTATTATATCATTAATAATGTTGTTTTTTCATTTTATTATATCATTAATAATGTTGTTTTTTCATTTTATTATATCATTAATAATGTTGTTTTTTCATTTTATTACATCATTAATAATGTTGTTTTTTCATTTTATTACATCATTAATAATGTTGTTTTTTCATTTAAATAAGCAGATTTTTAAGATTTTTAAATAAGCAGATTTTTAAGATTTTTAAATAAGCAGATTTTAAAGTCATTAAAATGCGTTAGTTGATATCTAATTAAAACTTTTTCATTACTTGGTCTTATTCATTTTCTATATATTTATTTTTTTCTGAGTTTATATATAAAAGTTTAACTACTATACAAATCTCATTATAAAAATAATTTCTTAATAGCAGTAAGCAACCCGTAATACGCGTTGTTAGTAAATAAAATTAAAAAAATAAACCGCATATAGAAAAGCCTTTAAACTACTTTAAAATAGAAAAGCCTAGAAAATGACATAACTCGACTAATAATAATAATATTAAATTAGCATATTCATATTATCAGAAGATCTCTTATATATTTAAGTTTACTTATCTCAAACATTTTTGTTTTGGTAACAACCAATTGAAAGGCATAATGCAATAAAATTTGTAATTAAATATTTATTCTATTAACTAATAAATATTACTAGCCAGATTTTTAATTTTAAAAAAAATACTAGAGAATTTTATGTGTTACTACTAAAACTAGAGTTTTTCAGAAAATAAAGTTTTTATTTTAAACACATTGTGTGCACATATTAACACACTATTAAACAAAGTGAATGCAATATTAAAATAGTACATACAATATTAAATATATTGCACACAAGAAATCAAACACATGCTTAAGTTAAAAAACTATAAATATAAAAAAACTGCCAACAATTTCTACAAACAAAACCAGTGTGATTACTGTACATCATTCTTACCTTTCTGTCTTAAATTACAATTTTAATCCAAGGCCACATCACCTTTCCTAAATTACCTTTTAAACCAAGGCCATAGCACCTTTCTTAAATTACCTTTTAAACGAAGGCCACATCACCTTTCTAATAATACTTTAAAAAACCAAGGCCATATCACCTTATATTAACTTTTAAATCATAATGAGAAAAAAAAGAAAACAAGAATTGTTCCAAATTATGTTTTTTGTTTTTTGCAACTTTTGATTGGTAGCAGGATGATAAAGAAAAAATATGTTTAATAAAAACTTTTTATGAAAACTATTTTTTTTAATCATGCAACTTGGTTTTTATCATTTCTATTAATGTTGCAACAAGTTATAAAATATGTATATGTATAGTTAAAGCGCCTGCAGATTGCATTTAACAGTACAAAGTTGAGAATAAATTAGACCATGTTAACTGGTATACCAAACCAGAAACTATTGCTCCACAACAAGGACATCATAAAGGATTACATTGCGAAATTGTAAAAAACAATATATATATATATATATATATATATATATATATATATATATATATATATATATATATATATATATATATATATACTGCTACTGGTAACATGTAACCCAGTACAATCTGCTTCATGTCCTGCTGCCTTGTAGGATACACCTTTTTAGGCTAAGGATAGGAGATGCCAACTCCAACGTAAAACACCCCCTGCCTTTGGGCTCTTGGTTGAGTTAAGGCTAAAGATGGTGTCCCAATAAAAATACTCATCTTGGGCAGACGTTAAATGTATCCGGCTACTGTCTTGTAGAAGGCCTCCTAGGCAAAGACTTAAGGGATAAACTGATTCTATCTGTTGACCAGCCATGCACCCCTTCTTCATCTATTAGGCTGGCACAGATGTACTTTTAAT